TTTTTTTTTTTTTTTTTTTTAGGTTTGGTGCGACTGAATCTTCCGGATTTGACCGGTCAAACGCGTGAGCCAGAGTCAGGGAATCATCACTACTACCCACGGACCCTCTGATTGTGGAATGAACTGGTGCCGTGGTTTTCCCAGTGGCTAACAACATGGGGTTCTTCAAGAGGGGAGTGAATAGGTTTCTTAAGGGTCGGCAAGGCGCATGACATGCCCAAAGTGTTGCAGGCGTACATAGGCCACGGTAACCTCTTACCATGAGGTGGGCCGTGTAATTTTACCACGGTCGTGGTAAAAAAAAATATCGATACGTTTTAGACAAATAAAGGATCAGATAATGTATAATGTAGAGGTATGTGTCAATAAGACAGTAAAAATTATTTTTTTAAAAGAGTAACGATTTAGTGTCTTGCTCGTTCTTCTCCCTTCAAAACTACACTTTGGAACGAGCGCCTAGCTTCACTGACAGACGGACGGACGGACAATAAAATTTTTGACGTTTCAAAAGTGCCTAATTAAGTATTAATTGAAATAAATTCGTTGACTTTGAGGCGTGATTATGAAATTGCGTTCATCGTTTGATATGGAATATGAAATCTTTTAATACCTACAGACATAGAATAAGAAAAGATAATAGGTTCAAGGTATACGAGGTATACCTTCTGAGGCCGTTGATGACATTCCGACCTTATACCAACGAGTTGAGAAGAACCGACGTTTGTTTATAAAATTATAAGTCGTAAAGATTATGATAGTTTTTAAACCCATCTATAATTAACCTTAGTAACTATAATATTGATAATACTAAAGTTAATCGCAGTAACCTTTGGTTAATCTACTAAAGTCTGCGATGAGACATAATGATGAAATAACTTCAAGTAATTGTTTGAAATGAAGCAATGCTTTTAAAATATCTTTGATTTGACCGTTTTTCATATATTTGCACGAAATATCACAGATTTATTCTGTAATAAGAAATTGCACTCTGCGTCAAAGGTTTTTGCACATATTAAGCGAATTGCGCACTATCGAATTTCTGTTAGGGCAATAAGTTTCAAATAATGGAATATCTAACTTAGACATTAATGCAAATTTATATTAATATTATGAAGCTGAAGAGTTTGTTTTTTTGTTTGTTTGTTTGAACGCGCTAATCTCCGAAACTACTGGTCCGATTTAAATAATTCGTTTTGTGTTGGATAGCCCATTTATTGAGGAAGGGTATAGGCTAAAATATATAGGATAAAATATCACGCTACGATTAATAGGAGCCGAGCAGAGCGAGTGAAACCGCGCAAAAATAGCTAGTAGTTAATATTAGTCTGTAAGAGTACCTATCTGGTAATGCTGATCCAGTTGGATGACCGCCAGGAGAAAGAACATAAAATGTGTGTTTGTCTGTTTTCTGAAAATGGTCCATTTTATGAAGGGTTGCCAATTTTTAAGTCTACTCTTTTTTCGGTTGCAAAAACTAGATTTAAGTATTTTTTATTTGTCTGTTATTTAATAGCCTTTTCTTTTATTTCCAGGCAGCACAATGCCAGTCAGGGAAGGCCCTAAGCGGCCATTGGTCGGCGTTATTGATGATGGAACCAAGACTGTTAGATTTGTGGTAAGTAATTTGTGTATATTTTGGCAATTCCTATTATTTGACATTTCATAACTGAAAATGAAAAGTGGATGTTACACTGAAAGAGATACACATCAGCCTACCGACTATTCTATCGGGGGTTAATAGCCCCTTAACACAGCTTGGGCGTTCGATAAACGTATGCGCAAACGCCGCGACAACGCGAAGCCTGCGCGGCATTTGCGCAGCGCATACGTTTTTAAAGATATGACGTTATATGTCAGTATGTTGTAATACTAAACTAGGGATGTACTATTGACGAAGTTGAGGTCCGTTCCTGATGTGCTTAAAAATGCTGATGAAAGTAGCCAAATAGTAAGATACATGTCTGAAGGTGTATCGTCTCGGCTCAACCTTAAACGGGATGGCGGCCAAAACCAAACTATTGTTCACTTTTATTAAATTAGCTAAACGCTAACAACAACCAATAGGACATAACAGATAGGTACCGATTCTTATAAATTGCATCAGTTTTTTCCTTGTCTGGTTTAGTAGGTACATCAAAACTAATGAGTTCGTCACGGTACTGATCATATTGTAATGTTTATTAACTAAGTACACAACGTATAGTACGACATTAATACAATCAAAATTATATATTTCGAGGTCACAGATTATAGAAGGCGGGGCGATACGTAAACTAAACTAAATGTTTTTATAACAATTTGAATCAAATGTGAACTTTGATCACGTTTACTGGTTTAATCGAGATTTTTGAACCGTATTTGTTACTGCGTATTAATTTTAAATAGAATTAGACTTAATGTCGTCTGGTAAAGGCAGAGTCCATTCTGTGACAAATACGTTCCAACACATTTAGTGCATCATTCGTTGGCCGAGTGGTCGCAAGTGCGACTGCCGGGCAAGGGATCTTGGGTTCGATTCCAGACTCGGGCAAAGTATTACTGGGTTTTTAAAAATTCCCAGTAGTAGCACGGAGCCTGGAATTGTGCCCGATATATGGCAATAGGCTCACTCCCTATTACATGGGACTCATAACATAATTAGTGAAAAGTGGGTGTTACATTGTATAGTGGCATAATGTGAACCTCTGCCTACTCCTTTGGGGATAAAAGGCGTGATGTTATGTTATGTTATGTTAAATTTAGTGTCTCCAGTCCTAATGCCAAGCGTGGAGTTTTCCGCACGCGCCTCAATGAGCCATCAGAGCACCATAGACGGCGCCCAGTAGGGCTGATGCCGATACGGAGCCGCGGAAAACTTAACGGATTACCGTGGCTCCGGCTCAATGAGCAGAAGTAGGAACGGGGTGGTTTTTAGTCAGTAAGAGTCTGACACTCCCTCCCGCCTCACCCAAGGCGGAAGAAGTCATTGGCTGATTTGTCCCCCTTAAAAAAACTGTGGAGATTATGACAAACCTTAATTAAATGTAAACAGGAGACTCATACTGCCACGGAATATTAAAGTTATAAATAAAATTAAGAAACAAATGTTTAAAATGTGAATTATAGAAATTTTCGAAATCAATCGAAATTAAATACTTATCGGTCACGCGATCCTTTAGCAATATTTTATTAATTAGTATCCGATTTAGATCTAATATTGTCTGTCTGATAAATTAATGGAAAATAATTATGTTTGTAGCGTAATAATTTATCTGATAATGACTTAAATCGTTCCTTTTTTCTTACATTAATGACATGGCGTTTGATATTATATTATTATCAAGCAATTGCTGGCTGATAATTTTAGGTGTCTAACAATTTCTCTTTCGATTCGCTTGATAAATGAATGCCTTGTAATGGTCAGAACTATAGTTTCAATTAGCTTGAAAAAATTTAGATCATATCCGTAGCCTTTTAATCCTCAAAGTGCATTACACAATGTCACAATCACTGATACGAGAGTCTCAATAGTAATACTGGGTTAGACTATTGCCATTCCTCCGTTCCGTGCGTTACAAAGAAATAGTTGAAAAAAAAAATATCATAAATAGGTACTTTGCCTCTGCCAACACAAGGATTTGGGAAGCACGTGACCCGATATACGACCTATATACGACCCGATTGCAAATAATTCAACAATGAATTTATCTTATCCACTTGTTGATCTTACAACTACTACTTCACTGCACGCCACGTGTCGCGGGTTCGATTCCCGCACGGAACAACTGTTTGTGTCATCCACAGATAATTGTTCCGGGTCTGAGTGTCATGTGTGTGTGAACTTGTATGTTCGTAAACGCACCCACGACACAGGAGAAAATCCTAGTGAGGAGCTACGTTTTTTTAAAGAAAATAAATACTAAGTACTTTTCATTTTTAACTTCCAGATATATGAAGCTGGCCGATCAGATGAGCTGGTGGCCTATCAGATGGACAAGACAGAGGTCCAGCCCCACGAAGGATGGTCAGAACAGGATCCTCTAGAAATTATCCACCACATTAAGCTGTGTGCTGAGAATGCCATCGATCAATTGGTGGAATTAGGTAAGGGTTGTCTAGATCTACCAATTTTTTTTTAAGGGGGAAACCAATACCAATAAGATTAGAAATTCATCATCATTCAACAGGCTCTAAGGTTAAGACGCCCGTTTCTCATGCATGAGGGTGCGGGTTCGAAACCTACCAACAACAAGTATCAATGTGATATTTTCCGAGTTATATGTCCCTTTCTAAGATTATTCAGACACCAATGACAAACGGTGAAGGAAAACATCGTGAGGAAACCTGGGCTTATAATTTCCTAATTATAAATTTGTAAATCGCCCACCCGCATTGAGCAAGCGTGGTGATTAATGCTCAAACCTCCGTATGAGAAGAGGCTTTGCTCAGCAGTGGGCATTTATAGGCTGTTGATGTTGATTAATTTCATCTTAAAATTGTGTCATTATTTGCCCCAATTTCGATCTGACGCATTATTTCAATAGTAAGAAACATACTAATCGTTAGTAAATATGATAATAGTAATGATTCAATACTTTTCTTATCTCCATAAACATGACGTCAGAACCGAGGCCTATGTTATTTTGTCTGTTCTTCTACGTCATTATATGCGGTCGTAACCTTTTGTTATCTTGCGTAGAAGCAAAAAAATACTCATACTACTAAATGCTATAGTAAATTTGTCTAATGGCTATAATACATATCGACCAGATTGGCGATATATTGAAGAAGGGCCAAGTTAAAAGTACCCTTAACCGACGAGCATGTATGAAAAGACTGATGACTTTTGAGGAAGCGAAATAAGTATGTAGGAATCGTAGCAATTGGTGTTCTACAGTCTCTGCCAACTGTGGGATTTATGGCACACCCTCTTCATGTTATGTAGCATAGGATAAAGTTTAAAGTAAATATTCTTGAGAGATTCTATTGCCAATATGCTAGATGTCATTTCAGACTCAGATTTTTTAAGTAAACAATAACTTAAGTAATACCTAACATGTATTTAGCTCAAGAGGCTATCGTAAACTTGGACTTTGGTATGTCACAATCGACTAAGGACAAATTATTGACTTAAAAATCAACACTCTCGCATTGAAATGACCAGAGTGCCAAGCACGAATAACTATCGCATTCGTAACGTAATAGTATCGAGCGCGTTCGGCGCTCTGATTGGCCGGCGCCAATGAACCAACCAATCAGAACGCATAACTCGCTCGATACTGTTACGATACGAATGCGATAGTTATTCGTGCTTGGCCCTCTGATATCATATGTTTACCGTACCAGTGTCACCGAATATGTTAATAACAATCAAAGTTCAAACAACTGTTATTTTAATTGAGACTCTATTGTTTGTTTGTTGAAGGTTGCGTTTGGAGAAACCTAATTACATAATTATATTTTGACATAAATTATATTTAAGGCCAATTTTTCAATCATCAGTTAATTCTTAACTGTATAATATTGACATTTGACAGTTTTTAGTATGGAAAATTTGAAAAGTTATTCCTCTGATAAAATTTAAAAACACCACTCGACATTGGCAGTATGGTTAGGGTTGCCACCTTTTATTTTGGTATTTAAAGTACATTGACGATTATAGGTAAGAAAAAAAAAGTACTTAGTACAAAAATAAAGTACAATTTGTTTTTATTTAGTATTATAATTATTTAAAAATATATTTTTATTGCTTTTTGCAGTTTGTATTAAATTAGTATCTTTACTAAACAATTGCATTTTTACTAGAAATTGTCTAAGTGGCGCTGGCGAGTGGCGAAATCGATTCAACATAATTCGATAAATATCGATACGGAATCGATAAGTTTACCGAAAAATACTTACGACTTTAATAGAAATGAAGTTTGCACAAATAAAGTATTTTTGTGTACTTTATTATTCTTATAAAGTATACAGTACAATTACCTGAAATAACGTACAATACTTTATTATAAAGTACGGGTGGCAACCCTAAGTATGGTCGACAACACCGTTTTGGAGACTCGGTTGCCAAAGTTACGAATGGAGTTTCTTGCTCGTGCTTCTCCATTCGAATCTACATTTTGGAATGAGCACCTAGCTTCACCTAGCTTCACTGACGGACAGACTGACAGACTATTATTTATTTTGTATTTGTTGACGGTTCAGAAGTACCAAATTATGGTTTAATTGAAATAAAAGCTTTGACTTTGACTTTGAAAAGAAGAAAAAAAAAGTAACTGAGCATTGAAAAATCGGCCTTTAGCTGCTCATTCCCCAAGCGGTCACCAGTGACCACTCTCGACTAACTCCATTATAGACCTTATTTCTGATGTTGAGAGACTACGTTTGTAAGAACAAATTTTGGGTATGATATATCAATGTATTAGACTAATTAGAGAAAGAGAGTGATTGATTTGATTGGATTGTGTGTTTTGCATTAGATTGACATCGAAATAACTCGACTGGTTGGGGAATATAACTTTTGTTTCGACATTAAGAAGTTCTATTTAAATGAGACTTAACTTAAGATACTTTTTATTCGGAAGTTTTAACAGAATTGGGACTTATTAGATAGAAAATGTATAAATTTCTTACGCGTAAAACCGCAGGTGAAAAGATAGTTTTATAGGAAACTTTTATATTGATTTCGTTAAGCAAAAACGTAAATTTTGAGAGCAAAATATGTTATTTTTTTGTACTAAGCACTAAGTTTAGCAAGTCTAGATTGGAAATATCATCTACTCGATCTGTTAATATCGCTAATATAATTACAACGTCCGTATAAACATTTGTTTTCATGTTGATAATTGAACTGTTGTGATATTTTATTCAATTTCATTGCATACTATACTATTTTTGAATTGATATTTTAAAGTATTCATTTTGTTTAAATAAGATATTGGGTCTGGAATTTAGTGCAGTTACACCACATAAGATAAATAAACAGGTCAAACATTAAAGAGTTATCTCATTTCATGGTCCTTTTCATTTTCTATTCTTTCACTGAACTTCTGTACTGACTCGTTGGCCAAATGGACGCCAGTGCGATTGCCGGGCAAGGGGTCTCGGGTTCGATTCCCGGGTTGGGAAAATAATTGCTTTTTTTTAATTCTCAGTGGTAGCACGGAGTCTGGAATTGTGTCCGGTATATGACTATATTCTCACCCCCTATTACATGGGACTCATAATATAAATAGTGAAAAGTGGGTGTTACATTGTACAGTGGCATAATGTGCACCTCTGCTTACCCTTTCGGGGATAAAAGGCGTGATGTTATATTATGTTCTTTATTCTCATTTTTTACACTCGCTTATTTACATGTGCCTTTGTTTATCCCCGTAGAAAATAACAGGTTTTATGTTTTAAATTTTAAAATGTTGTATATATTTGTTTTCAGGTTATACCAAAGACGATATAGTAGCGTTGGGCATCACAAACCAGAGAGAGACAACGATAGCCTGGGATAAATATACGGGCGAGCCGTTGCATGCTGCTATAGGTAAAAAATAACGGTTTATATAATCTTCTATTTGTGTCTAATTAGAACTCCCTTTGTCTATTGGTTGGCAAAAATATTATTATCCGTTTTAATGTTGAAATAGTGGTGAATATTTATTGTCAGTTATGCCATACAAACACATCACTATGTACTTCAAAAATTTCATACTACTACTTGAGATAGTCTCTGATCTCTGAGATCTCACCCCCTATTACATGGGACTCATAACAGGAATAGTGAAAAGTGGGTGTTACATTGTACAATGGCATAATGTGCACCTCTGCCTATCCCTTCGGGGATAAAAGGTGTGATGTTATGTTATGTACTTGAGATAAAACACAGTGACATACAACATATTGGAGACACGCTGCACTAAGCAGAAAATGTATTAAGTTGTGACGTCACGCACTATTTTTGTCTACAAAATGTATGTCTTATGTATAGTGGGCAGTAGATAAACCTATCCTTTCCTGTCATATTTCTTTATTACATCTTCAACTCTATTGTATTGACATACAGTCGAAAATCCAGAGTGGTCGATCTACTGGCCACTGTATTTTTGTAATCAAGGAGGCCACTACAGAAGAAATAAGTTTATCTTTAATTTGTACTAGTTTTCTTATGGTCGTTTGCAATAATCACCCCAAAACTGTCACTTAACTAAAAGTCACTTAGCGTGATGTAGCACCTAAACTAACCCCTTTTACTGTTAGGTGTTAATTATAGGCTGGTGAACATAATAGTGATGTTAAGTGTCGTCTACCTTATGGGTTATCTATCTTAGGGTTTCTTTAAATTTTGTAATGGTTGGTAGTTTATTTATTTATTTTATTAATTGAAGATTTTTGTTAATATCTTTTATCGTGATTCCAGCATGGAACGACATCAGGACAGACAGCACTGTGGACGCGATTCTTGCCAAGATCCCAGACCGAAACAAGAATTACTTTAAGAACATTTGCGGTCTACCGATATCTCCTTATTTCAGTGCTTTGAAGATGCGTTGGTTGAAGGATAATGTGAAGGCTGTGAGACGAGCTAGTAGGGACAAGAGGTTGTTGTTTGGGACTGTTGATACTTGGATCGTGTGGGTGAGTAGCCATTTAATGGTTTTTGAAAGATATGTATATTTTTTAGTTTGGTTTAAACTGGAATAAACACAATTACTCTGTATTTATATTATAACTTTAAAGATAAGATAAAGATAAAGATTCTTTTATTTTGCAAATATGGGTAACAATTACAGGTGACATAAAAATACAGGTTCAGCCATATTTTACCATTTAAGCATGCAAATGATATACATAGTAAAATGCACTGGATAATGTGTTACAATTGAAGACAAACAACCCAATAAAAAAAAACATAAACAAAAAAAAGAAGATTATAAATTAGGAACATAGTTTTCAATTCAAGTAAATTCAAACTTTCGTGAGACATACTAAATTAATTATTATCTTTTCGGCTTACTCACGTAATTATTTGACGAGGAACTCGACTAGTATCCAAGCCATGCTAGAGGCGCATTCACGAGCAGCATTCTGCGACGCCGCGACTATCGCACTGCTACTAAAAGTGCTATCTGTATACGTGCATATGAGCGTACGTACGAGCCTCTAGCATCGCTTGAAACTACTCGAGTTCATCGTCAAATAATTACGTAAGTCGAAAACAATAATTAAGTATTACTCAGGTTTCCACCTTATATTTCTGAGCTGCTTCTAACCTACTTGCTGCTGTTTTGTTGGTTGGTCAAAAAAATAATGGCCTTATTGCTGTTGTAGTTATCAAAATTGACTGCTAAATATTAACAGTTCATTGTTTAAGAAATATTTAAAGATTGTTTAATGTATTCAAAGTCAAAGTCAAAATCATTTATTTCAATTAGACCAGAAAGACACTTTTGAACGTCAATAAAAAAAATAAATGTGAAGCTATTTGCTCATTCCAAGGTTACTCTTTTTCGATCAAGTTCACAATTTTTTTTTTTTTTTTTTTATGGCATAAGCCGGTAAACGAGCAGACGGATCACCTGATGGAAAGCAATCGGCGTCGCCCATGGACACCTGGAACATCAGAGGCGTTACAAGTGCGTTACCGGCTATTTGTGGATTAGGAGTTTGAGGATTGTTGGGGATTCAGGGATTGGGGAGATTGGGAAAGGGGGGGGAAATTGGGCCTCCGGTAACCTCACTCACACGACGAAACACAATGCAAGCGTTGCTTCACGTCGGTTTTCTGTGAGGCCGTGGTATCACTCCGGTCGAGCCGGCCCATTCGTGCCGAAGCATGGCTCTCCCACACTTAATTCTTTAGTAACAATACAATTCTTTAGTAACATAGTTTGAATTATAGTCAATAATTGCGTTGGAGCGAGTGTTTGTTTTTAGTTCTCGTACCCACAATCTAATTTTAATATCTAAATAATATCCTGTTCCGAAAAGTTCACCATATAAACCATGGCATGTAGCCAGATTTAATGATAATATTCGTTTCAGAATATGACCGGCGGACCTCACGGTGGCTTGCACATAACTGACGTCACGAACGCGTCTAGAACTCTTCTCATGAATCTGGAAACTTTGAATTGGGATCCTATTCTGTGCAGGTAAAGTTCATTTTAGGTTACATGTATGATATTTTTACACCAGAACATTTTTATCGGAAAATATCGCGTTGCTCGATTTACGATTGGTTTGCGCAATGATGATCGCCTTTTGCGCAACAGGTTCAATGTGTACTGTGATAATTTGAGTCTGCTTCATCAAACAACAGTAATCTCTTATAATACTGGTGTCGATAAAAGTATTATAATAATGCATTTTTTTTCCAGATTGTTCGGTATCCATAGAGACACACTGCCCACAATTAGAAGCAGCTCAGAAATATACGGCACCGTGAAAGATGGCTCCATTGTTGACGGAATCAGGATATCTGGCGTAAGTAATGAAATACTTATTAAAAAAAATCGCAGGTATTGTTTTTGCTTTTCTGTAAGGCTATAACTCCAATCATGCAAGCTTTGGCACGTATGAGTGCCAAACCATGGCACGCCTACTTGAAAAATGAAAATAAAAATAACCGACTGTCTTCAAGGCCCGAGTGAATAGGTTGCATATGGGACGACATGCTCCATCGTAGACCGCATCATCGCTTACCACCAGGCAAGGTAGAGGTCAATCGGCTCATCGGCGTCGGCCCATCAAATATAAAAAAATACTATTATCCCATATAATAATTCAGCACAGTGTGCGTTACCCAGGCAAAATGTTTTGCTTTAGAGAGATGAGACTTAAACAAATAATTAGTGTATCATGAGGAGCAATTTGTTTACTAATAGCAAAATTTGTTTGAATTGTAATTTTTAAGTTATTTGAGAAAAACAAATTTTGCTGGAGTAACGTTTGAAACGTTACCCAGGCAAAATAGTCTTTCAAAAATTAGTTTCAGCACGGAACCAAATACATGAATAGATAGCTTTTGTTGCGTAGTAAATGTTTATAAATAGCAAAATTTGTGTGTGGTATAGTTCTTTAGTTATTTAAGATTTTGCTGCGGTAACGTTTTGGGATTTCCCAGATCTCGAAAACGGCTCAACGCAGAAGTTTGAAAAAAATACCAATAAAAGACCTCAATTTGTTTAAATTTGTTTAATCATTAGTTTTTGATTTGGTTGACGTAAACCAATGTAATTAAATGGTTTCAAAAATCAGAAGAAGCGGGTTTACATGTAAACCAATACACTTATAACCAAATAAACAGCTGTAAAAAATACCCGTGGTTCGACGCTTGTTTACATCAGAAATATTAGATTTCATACTTTACACATTAAGAAGATAAAAACAAATTTGATTTATTTTAGACTGGTCGTACTTTAGCGATCGAATACGCAGTTCCCATAACATTAAGAAACATGGCATACTTTAAACAAATTAAAATGATTCCTGAAAATTCCTTCCTGTTAATTGCAGCTTTGAATTACGGCTCTAATGAAAGTTATCTCAAAAACAAGATTATGTCAGCAATTCTCTAATGAGCCGACCAAATTGAAAAGGTCACATAAAAGCGACCGCACCATACATAAGCGCAACCATCTGAAATGAACAGGATAATATAGATGTTTTGTTAGTACAGTTGAATACAAAAGTTTTCTGGTCAGGTTAGTTAAAATAATAAAATGGTTAAGATTCATTATTTTTATTTAAAAAATCAGTCTCATACAAATTATATGTATTGCTTTGCCTTAGCATCAACATTTTTAGAGAAAAATCACAGATAAGTTATAACCTACTTACTTAATTTTAATATTTGGATACATTAATAGTTTGTACAATTTTCCTTAGGAGGTACTAATAACGTAGGTTGATAGGTGGACTCCATTTCACCTCGACTCACAGTATGGCATTTTAATTGGCATTAACTAGTAAAAATTGTGTAATATGGTACTGCACTTAAAAAATATTAAAAAATCGGCTTCACGAATAACGTTTTTCTGCTTAACTGTACAAAACATCGGTTACCAAGCTGCTAATTTGCGAAGATTACCCGTACGTACGGTGCAGTCGCTTTTACGTGACCTTTTCAATTTGGTCGGCTTATTAGAGAATTGCTGACATATTCTTGTTTTTGAGATAACTTTCATTAGAGCCGTAATTCAAGGCTGAAATTAACAGGAAGGAATTTTCATGAATCATTTTAATTTGTTTAAAGTATGCCATGTTTCTTAATGTTATGGGAACTGCGTATTTGATCGCTAAAGTACGACCAGTCTAAAATAAATCAAATTTGTTTTTATCTTCTTAACGTGTAAAGTATGAAATCTAAAATGTCTGCTGTAAACAAGCGTCGAACCACGGGTATTTTTTACAGCTGTTTATTTGGTTATAAGTGTATTGGTTTACTTGCAAACCCGTTTCTTCTGATTTTTGAAACCATTTAATTACATTGGTTTACGTCAACCAAATCAAAAACTAATGATTAAACAAATTTAAACAAATTGAGGTCTTTTATTGGTATTTTTTTCAAACTTCTGCGTTGAGCCGTTTTCGAGATCTGGGAAATCCCAAAACGTTACCGCAGCAAAATCTTAAATAACTAAAGAACTATACCACACACAAATTTTGCTATTTATAAACATTTACTACTCAACAAAAGCTATCTATTCATGTATTTGGTTCCGTGCTGAAACTAATTTTTGAAAGACGATTTTGCCTGGGTAACGTTTCAAACGTTACTCCAGCAAAATTAGTTTTTCTTAAATAACTTAAAAACTACAATTCAAACAAATTTTGCTATTAGTAAACAAATTGCTCCTCATGATACACTAATTATTTGTTTAAGTCTCATCTCTCTAAAGCAAAACATTTTGCCTGGGTAACGCACACTTCAGCACAATATTTTCTTTTCATACTACCTCTACTGTCGATGGCAACAAAACATACAGCCTGCCAAATGGCAGTATCACAAATACATCGCTAACTATGATGAAGTTGTTTGTTCATTTTCGAGGAGGAAGTTCTCTCCAAATATTGTTTTCCCCTTTCTAGAACCATTTACAAAAAAATATACTCTCCAACAGATCCTAGGAAACCAGCAATCAGCCCTCGTAGGCCAGAACTGCCTCCAAGCTGGTCAAGCAAAGAATACATACCGTAGTGGTTGCTTCCTTCTCTACAATACTGGTACACGTCGCGTGCAGTCCACACATGGACTTATTACTACCGTGGCTTACAAATTGGGACCTGATACACCCGCTGTTTATGCTTTAGAGGGTAAGTAGCAGAGTATATAAAATACACTTTGCACGATTACTAATCTTTTTGTGAATGTCCTAAAGAGCTAATAATATTTGACAGACTAGGCGATATTGCTCTCAGATAAACCTGAATCTACACGTCTTCTAAGCATGGCATTTTTGGGAATATGGCATATGTTATGTATGAGTCTCATTCGTTAGTGTATTTGTAAATAATTACAGTCTCCATCTTCAGCAATCCACCACGGATGGATCTCAATAGGACTGATGCCGATACGGAGTCGCGGAGAACCTAACGGGTTACCGTGGCTCCGGCTCGAAGTGCAGGAGTAGGAGGAACGGGGTGGGTTTTTAGTCAGTAAGAGTCTGACACTCCCTCCCGCCTTACCCAGGTGGGATAAGTCATTCGATGATCGCAAAAATCAGTCTACTTGATTGCCCCGAGGAATCGTTAATACTAGACAGAACCTCTCGTCTCGTCTCGTCTAGGCTAGGCTTAAGCCAAAAAGACGCTAATTAAGATTTGTTATATTTTTTTCGTCTTAAGCATATTACTAAATGTGCAACATGCTCTCGGTTTAATAAGCCCAACAATCATAAGACGGGTGACGCTGAGTGTCCGGCAAAGAACATAGCTCAGCACAGGTATATCAACTCGATTGATTACGAGGGCGCGTAATGCGTCATACTTCTGAGTTGATTGGCCTACTTATTGCACAACAGTGACACTACATATTATGTTAGATTAAACATCACTTTGTTGCTATCCAGCATTTGTGCTTACTCAAACGTTGTGTTTCTCAAACTCAAATGAATGACCTATGGACTTTAGTGTTAGCCTACTTAGTTTATTTCTGCTGATGTAGATAATTCC